CATTGCGGGACCCCTGGCACAGCTTTATGAGCACTCGTGGCACACTGGCAAGGTACCAGAGGACTAGAAAAGGGCCAGCGTGGTCCCCATTTTCAAAAAATGGAGGAAGGAGGACCCAGGAAATTATAGGCCTGTTAGTCTTACCTCGGTCCTGGAGAAGCTCTTTGAGAAAATTATCCAGGTGCACATCTGCGAGGGGCCAGCAGGGGAGCTTATGCTTAGGGGCAACCAACATGGGTTCATTAGAGGCAGGTCCTGTCAGACCAACCTGGTGGCCTTCTGTGACCAGGTCACAAAATATTTGGATGCAGGTGTTGCAGTGGAAGTAGTCTTTCTGGACTTTAGGAAGGCCTTCAACACTGTCTCTCACCCCATTCTCATTAAAAAATTAGGAGACTGTGGTGTCGATGCCTACACAGTCAGATGGCTCGCCAATTCACTGGAGGGCCGCACCTAGATAGTGGTGGTGGATGGGTCATTTTCGACCTGGAGGGATGTGGGCAGTGGGGTCCCCCAGGGCTCGGTCCTCAGGCCCCCACTGTTCAACATCTTCATCGGTGACTTGGACGAGGGGGTGAAAAGCACCTTATTCAAATTCGAAGATGACAGTAAGATGTGTGGAGAAGTGGGCATGATAGAAGGAAGGGACAGGCTGCAACTGGGTCTGGACAGGTTACAGGGGTGGGCAGATGAGAATAAAATGGGATTCAATACTGACAAGTGCAGGGTACTGCACCTAGGGAGAAAGAATGAGCAGCATACCTACAGGCTGGGGAACTCCCCTCTCATCAGTGCAGAGGCAGAAAAGGATCTTGGAGTCATCACTGATGCCAAGGTGAACATGGGCCGTCTATGTGGGAAGGCAGTCAGGAAAGCTAACCACACCTTATCATGCATCCGCAGGTGCATCATGAGCAGGTCCAAGGAGGTGATCCTCCCCCTCTATATGACATTGGTCAGGCTGCAGTTGGAGTACTGTGTCCAGTTCTGGGCGCTGCACTTCAGGAGGAATGTGGACAACATGGAGAGGGTCCAGAGGAGGGCTACTCGCATGATCAAGGGGTAGCAGGGCAGGCCCTACGAGGAGAGGCTACAAGACCTTGGAAGCCAGGAGCAGCGGGGAGAGGAGGGATCCAGGCACATGTGTGTCCCGCACACACGTGTGCCCCCTTACCGGACCCAGAGCAGAGGCGAACGCAGCAGCAGCAGCAGAGGCGAATGCAACAGCAGCGGGGGCAGCAGCAGCTGATCCCCCTAAGGCAAGTGGGGCAGAGGGACTGACACAGCTGAGCCAGATCTGGAGGGGAAGCCCCCTGGATCCCTCTTAACTGAGTCGGTAGGGAGCCACACTCCCGAGCCGTGTGAACAGAGCGTGCAAACAGGCGCATTCTGTAAGAGCACACCAGTGTTTGCGTCAATATTCGCGCTGGCGGGTGAGCAGGAAGGGCCAGGAGGGAGACT